ACTATGAGTTCCTGGTCATGCCATTTGGACTAACCAACACTCCAGCCATCTTCATGGACTTGATGAACAGGATTTTCAAACAATTCTTATATCAGTTCGTAATTTTAATTCATCGATAATATCTTAATTATTTCAAAAAGCAGAGAGGAACACGTTTCAACATCTAAACTTAGATTTTGTAGGTTCTCAGAAAGAAGAAATTGTATGCAAAGTTGAGTCAGTATGGGTTCTGACTTGAGTAGACTACTTTCTTAGGGCACATCATATCAAAAGATGGAGTATCAGTGAACCCCAAAAAAGTTGAAGCAGTACTCGGGTGGAAAAAATTGACCTCGATTAAGGATATCCGAAGCTTTCTGAGGATGACAGGTTATTACCGCAGATTTGTGGAATGACTTTCTAGCCTAGCTACTCCTTTGACTCGGCTCACAAAGAAGAACGTCAAGTTTAAGTAGAATGAGAACTGTGAAAGAAGTTTTTCAAAACTAAAGAGACAGTTGACTACCGCACCTGTGTTAGCTTTGCCGAGCGAATCGGGTGGATATACAGTTTATAGTGATGGCTCCTACCTAGGGTTGGGTTGTGTTTTAATGCAGCATGAGAATGTCATAATCTAAGGGTCTAGGCAGTTGAAGAGTCATGAGAAAAACTATCTCACCCATGATTTAGAACTGGCCACAATTATCCACGCTTTGAATACTTGGCGCCATTACTTGTATGGGGAGACCTTTCAGATCTATACCGATAATAAGAGCTTGAAACACATATTCACTCAAAATGATCTCAACATGCGTCAGAGAATGTAGATAGAACTCCTTAAGTACTATGATTGCGACATCTTATATCACTCAAGTAAGGGCAACGTGGTAGCCGACGCACTCAGCAAAAAAAATGCAGGTATATTAGCTCATTTGATGGTTTTAGAATGCAGAGTAATATGGGTCGCACAACAGGTATGACTTCAAGACCTGAAGAAAGTCACATATTTGGTCCACCTGACCGTTCAACTTGAGTTAATCCAGAGAATAAAAGAAGTTCAGTCCGCCGATTCCACCTTAGTAGCCCTGAAGAAAGATGTAGAACATATAGTTAATTCAGAATTTCAAGTATCTGCCGACGGGTTGCTCAGATTTTAGGATATGGTGTGTGTTTCAGGTGACAGTGAGTTAAAATGGATATCATGACAAAGGCCCATAGCTCAAAGTTTTTCATGCATCCCAGAAGCACTAAGATGTATCAAAGCATGCGACTCCGATTTTGGTAGAACGGGATGAAAAGATATGTGGTTGATTTTATTTTGAAGTGTTTGGTATGTCAGCAAGTCAAGACAGAACATCAACGCTCAGGTGGGTTACTTCAGCCATTACTAATTCTAGAGTAGAAGTGGGAGCATATCACCATGGATTTCGTGACATGATTGCCTAGAACACACTCAGGACATGATACCATTTGGGTAATTGTTGACCGACTTACCAAGTCTTTTTATTTTTTAGCCATCAAGATGATCGATTCATTGGACAAGTTAACAAGAATGTATATCCGGGAGATAGTTAGATTATATGAAGTACCAGTGATAATAGTGTCCGACAAGGACCCCAGGTTTACTTCTCAGTTTTGGTCTAGCCTTCAGCAAGTCATGGGAACGAAATTGTCCCTTATTACTATATTCCACTCTCAGACCAATGAACAGTCAGAAAGGACGATCCGCACTTAATTTATGATTTATTTTCTTTGAAATTTCAGGATCATTACAAAGAAAACTCTTAAGGTACATAATTTTAAGGTGCATGTAGCTACATAAATTTTAAGGTGCATGTATTTTCTTTCTTATATAATTTTCTTTTTGTATCTTGAACACGATATAATAAGAAAAAATTAATATTCTATCTATACTTTCTCTTTTCTAATTATATCTATTAATTTTTTCAGTAGCATATTGAGTTCGATCTTAAGTCTAATTGTATGGTATGATGTCATCTCCCTAATGCGTTTACTCCTCTTCTCCCTCATCATGAGCTGTGATTATTTGCTACCCTTAGGGTGGTTCAGTATTTGATTGGTTTTTAGTTACTTTATGAGAATTTTTTCTTGAATTCCTTAATTTTGGCCTGAGTTACTTGTTTTTAAGTTTTTGGCAAAACTCAAGAAAATTAGTTTCGTTTAAGAATATCCCAAGCGCTTAAAAAATTCTCAGGCAAACTTTGACCTACATGTTACCTTTTGGTTTATAAGTAACCTTTTTTTTTTTTTTTTTTTTTTTTTTTTTTGCTGCTTGGTTCTTGTAATAATTCTTAATAATTATTATTCTTCCTGAAAAAAAAATTCTGCAAGTATCTAGTAACTTACAAAGATGTAATAATGGAAGCCAATTGGTGTTGGATCTTGCAACTATTTGAATAATACTTCTAAAAAATGCTCAGTTTTTGTCATTTAAAAATGCCGTATGGATATAAGTATAGTATATTAATATTATATAGTTTAAATCATATATTACATTTGTAAAAAATTAATTAACTCAAATTTGAATCTTATCCTTCTTGAACTGTGATGGAAACGTGGTCATTACAAATAATTAATTGATTAATTAAGGATGAAGTAATGTGGGCGGCAGTGATGTTGGAGATGGGTATTATAGTTATAAACCCTAAAAGATTATGTCAACCATGTGTGATGCTTCATCTTGCTTCTTGCTTCTTGTTAATGATGTTAGTTTTCTTCTTGCAGATTGTCGGTGGTCTTACCTAATTATGCCTTTGGGTTTCCAGCCATTTCGAATATTACAAACCACATCTGTTCTATATTTCTTTCAAATCATAAATTGTCTCGTAGGTCTATACACGTATATGTACATACGAATGCTCGCCTATCATGCCTTGTGGGTGCTTGCTAATTCCCTATGATACTACTGAAATCTTGTATTGATACAAGCATATTTTTATGGTTCATAGAATATTTAACTTGTTATATATATATATATATATATATATGTATATATAAATGTTATAAAGAATAGTTAATGTTTTGCCTCCTGTAAGAGGGTCAAACCTAAAAAATTGAAAATATAATAATAATATTATTATAGAAGAAGAAGAAGTTATTAATTGGAATTAGATTCAGATCAGTGCAGAGGGTTCACGAGGAGGCGGCTGGGAATAAAGCAAGCACTTGATTTGAACAACTGTAAATAGTAAGTACAGATGTGATTTAACATTAAAATAGGAGGAGGTCACATGGAAATTAGGTTAACTAACCCCTCCCAAAAACTTTCTTCAACTTCAATCTTTACTTTTTTTGTATTACCTACCAAAGAGTGGAATTATATATGTTTGGTACTTTTATCTATACGTGTATGTTAATCATTATGCATGTTTAAAATTATATCAATTAGTATTTTTACAGTTTTAATCATGTAAAGAAAAAGAGAGAGAGATAGATCCAAAACGTTTAATTTGATTGGTGGTTGTTATTTTATTTGCTAAATTAAATTCATTACTCCTCTGTCATTACCAATATAGTAATAAATTTATCGTTAGCTTTTTACTTAATATAATAATAAAATTAAGTTAATTTTTATTTTTTTATTATAAAAATTTAAATTTAAATTTAAATTAAACTGTACCTTCTTAATAGAAGATAATATATATTATATAATTAATAGAAATAATAATATAACGAGAGTTTTCAAATCCTAAAGTTTGAAGAGATGAAGCAAATGGGAGGTTGTAGTAATCCAATAAGCAAGTCTCTCTCTCATTGCCTTTGCCTCTCAATTATTATTTTGAGTGTCTCTACAGGGAAAAGAAGAACAATTTATCATTTTTAATTCATATATTATTTAAAATAATCTGAATTGGAATAAAATAAAACAAAACAATAACATAAAATTTGAAAACAATTATAAAAAATAAAAATAAATAAATAAATTCTGGAAAATGCCTCCACGGCTACAACTATATAATCCACATGAAGCGTTTGGTTAAAGCCAGCTTTGCCTGCTTTCAACACCCAAAGTCACGTGACCAACACGTGCCTTGCATGACATTTCTTCTTCTTTTTTTTTTTTTTTTTTTGGCTCAAAATTCCCACGAAATTAAAGAGAATAATTATCATCACATGGACCAACCTGTACATATAGAGGAAAACAGATCCATTAACGATCAATACATAATGCATAATGTATGCACACACATATATATATATATTATATATATGTTTGTATTACTTGTATACATATATATATATATATATATATACATACATGCACACACATTCAAAGATCCAATAATTAATTCACGCATACATTTCTGAGCTCACCCATCCAATAATTCAAGGCCGCTTATCCCATTACCTATAATAATACAATACTTCTGTCTATCTTTTATCAGAAGAAGCCAAGGGACACATATGGTTCAAAGCTATTAAAAGTTATATAAGCTTCTAAATCCTTATCAGAGTTGTAATTTCTGAAAAATAATTACTGGTTGTAAAAAAACATTTCGTAGGATTAAATAGGCTAATGGGGCAGATGAAATGAGAGGGCAGTCATGGAATTTTGTCTTGATATGACACAACATATATCATGAATTCTTCCCGTGCATCACTTCAGATTTTGAAATATTATGTAGTAGCAGTGAGTCAAATCTATCTTGCTCCTATCAAATAGTGAGAACTAATTGTATGAATCATCCTTTTATACAGTTTCAGCTATATATACATACTTACGTATAGAAAGAGAAAAGAGGGGATGTAAATATTAATACATTTGTTTGAAAAATACAAAGCAATACATATATATAAACATAATTTCATTCAAATACATAATTTTTTAATATTAATTAGTAGTGGGAGATGGTAGCTTATCCAAATGTAATCTAATAATAAACATAAATATTTCTTTCTTTAATTTTTTAGCTATAACTCACATGTTCTAACTCAATTCCCTTCCTTCCTCCTCACTTCCTCACTTATAACCCACTTCGTTACACCACTCACTTCTCATATATAAGTACTTCCTATCAACACTTGTATACATACGTATACATATACATATACACGTATGTATTTCCTGGTTATAATTGGATGAGTAGCAGGCTTTTAGTTTTTTGTCACTTAATTAAGCTACGGCATTTCTTTTCTGTGTCTTTATTAGTTTCTGCTTCTAATTTCTCAAATTTCTTGATCATGGCTGGCTAAAATGGGTCTTGGCCTTTGCTGATCATTTTTTTTGTTTAATTTCCTGGGTCTTTTTTTTTTCCTTCTCCCAATAAAATTTGACCCATTGCTACTACCCTCTGTCTGTCTCTTCTGCCATCCCATATTCTTCTTCTTTTTTTTAATTATTTTTCCTTTCTGATCTCTGGTACTGTAATATTATATATATATATATATATATTCATATAAAATATGCATACTAAAGTACAAAGAATTGTTCTGTTGCCCTTCTATATATATGTAAGGGATAGTCTTTTCCAGTTGAGGAAGGAGGACCAGATCTTTTAAGTTAGCTAGATTTGTACAGTGTAGGAAGATTATATATCTAGCCAGTTAGGGTGATAGATACATATATCTATATATATGGTATGGGGAAGCTGAGTTTTGGGAGGGTGTTGGATTGTTTTAGTGTTTCTACAGGATGCTCTTGTTTCTGCATGAATACTCTCGAAAGGGATGAATTTGATGAAAAGAAACCATTGATTAATGATTCTGATCACAAAAAATCCCAGCTGCTCAAATTGAAAGATGTTGTTGGAGGAAGCCAGACTCTGGCCTTTCAGTTGAAGCCCAAGGTATCTACTTGATTCAATCTCTCTCTCCCTCTGTGTGTGTGTGTATATATATGTATATATATATGCATATTTATATTGATGGGTTGTATAATATACACATATATATATATATATTTGATGGGTTATACAGTAAATTTTAATTTGTTGATTTGAATGATATGGTGGTGCAGATGGTTGTGCTACGGGTTTCTATGCACTGCCATGGCTGTGCAAGAAAAGTTGAGAAGCACGTCTCCAGATTAGAAGGTACCTACTTTTATTGTTTTTTGTTTTCATTTTCTAAAACTAATTTATTTATATTTTAGAGGAATTAATTTATTTATCTCATTGTGTCTTTAAAGAAATCCTTTTTTCTTAAAAAGAAAAATATATTAATCTACATTTTATGTTTTTAATTAATGTAATTAAATTGTGAAAAATTAACAGGAGTGACGTCATACACAGTAGACCTGGAAAGCAATAGGGTGGTAGTTATTGGAGACATACTCCCATTTGAAGTGCTGGAGAGTGTCTCCAAGGTCAAAAATGCTCGGTTATGGGCTTCTTCTCCTTGTTGACTGATCCTCATTACAAAATCTCAAACTAAGAAATTCATATCATATATATATTTTTTTTAATGATATATATATATATATATATAAAATCAATATACATTATATATGTGTGTACGATCAAATTTCCATATTCTATTCTTGATCGCTTCTCCTTTTTTTTTTTTTTTTTTGGGGGGGTGTAGAAATTTTAGGTGTTATACATGTAAGGTCTATATGTATGTGTCCAATGCTGCCCTCAGGTTTTGTTTTATTGCTACCAAAGCTGCAGCATTGTAATTAATTATATAAGTAATTGTAATTTCTTGTTTGGTAATTTATAATTTGCCAAAAATAAATGCACGAACAATATGATGTAGAAAAGTCAGCAGCCTTATATGAAATGTGATGTTGTCCCAAACTTGGTAGACCATGCCATGTGCTGTGATTTGAACCATCTTATTGTGCAATTTTGTAATTCTCTTATTTCTTCTCTCTTTCTTTGAGAATTACATATATATATATATATATATATATTTATGTACCAGTGTTTCATAGGGTATCATATCCCACACACACACGCACACAATGCGAAGATATTCTACTCCTGCATATTGATTTTATCTAATTATGTAAAGTTTATATGGGCAAATAGGTTGGTTTTTTTTTTTTTTTTTTTTATGAACTGAGAATGTGATATTATTGATTACATTTGAAGAATTTCATGTGAAAAAGATATGAAGTTAATCAAATAGGTAAATTGGTAAGTCTTGATATAACAAATGTCAATAGTATTAAGTTTAGGAACTCGAGTACTTCATTAATTAAAATATGCACAATTTATTTATAATTTTTAAAAATTCAAGTAGACATAAAAAATCATTTTTAAAAATTAACAAACACTCTCACAAAATATAAAATTTGAATATCGTTATACAACAGGTGATAGGCAATTCTAAAATCCCCTGCTAGAATAATTTATAATTAGATAAAACTAAAGCTTAAAAATTTATGAAGTATCGATAACAAAAATATGTTTCATATGTGTAATTTTTTTGAATATATCAATTTCAAATAAATAATAGATATTTAACAAAACATTGCTTATGAAAATATACTAGATAAGCGTATTTTTATTTAATTATTTACGAAATAAAAATAGTAACACTGTTGTAATTTTTTTAAGGAAAAATCTAATCTAACATTGACCAAAAAATTTATTTTTAAAACGATGTACAATCTTTTTTCAAATTAAATCAACACATATTAACCAAAACCAACCATTTAAAAAACAAATATATGTACATATACAGGCATTTTATAAAATTACAAATTCTGAAAAAGGAAAAAAAAAGGTGGACCACAAGTACGGAAAACCCCGTTCAATTAGTCCATTAGGCCATGTGTATTGTCAAATCGACCAAAAAATCTCCCAGCATAAATCGAAAGGCTCCAACACACGTCTCAGCCTTTCACAGATGGTGAAGTCTGTTATCTCATGATGAAGTTTGTTAAACCAATCACGAGCCTGCGATTTCTGCATATTACGGCCCGGAGACTTTCCAAGGCACTATTAAATCTAATTAAACTATTATCCAACCACACCAACTTGGTGTCTGCTCCGAGCTCATCCTCATGATGCATATATAAACAGTTGAAAAAGTATCACCTCTTTGCGATGCGGGACGTTAATGTGGTAAAACGCCAGATGGTACGCATCAAAATTGATATTCCATACA